ATTAGGTGGAAAAAATAATCAAAACAGCCAAGAGCTATTTTCCACATAATTGCTTTATACTTGTACTGTTAATATATTCATCAATTTTGTGATTGTAATCAGTATCTGTATACAGATACATTTATTTTAGCAATAAACTTTATCTTATCTTATCTTAATCTTTATTTTTTAAAAAGTATGGAAGATATTGTCATTTTTCTTGGTATAAAAATACTGATAATTCCTATATATTTTCCTGCAGTAGAAATGCGAAAGTCACTTTTTTAGTGAATCTACAACTGAAAAATTGCCAGTTTCAAAATGTTGTACGTCATTATATTTATAAATTCGTTGATGCGAAGAAATTATGTTTATAAATAATCTGAATTATCTATACATCAAATATCATTAAAAAATGATTAAAACTATTAAGGTTGGAAGCTGTTAAAGGAAAAGAAAATGGTGAAAGCATCATTATGCAGGAAAAATATTCAATTGTCAAATCAAAGTTCTATTCGGCAAAACTTACTGGAAGGTAAAGTACTTGTATTTAAAAAAAATGGAATTTAATGTAAAAGCTTTGTTTAAATAATTATTTATAGTCTATTTCTTTACAATAGCTTAGATAAATTATGCAAGGTTAGTTACTAAATAAACTTCGTACTTAGATTTAAAATATTTATAAAAGTGGCATTTATACAAAAAAAACATAAAAAAATGTATATATTTATATGCTAAATAATACAAAAAAAAATAATTTAAACTGTAGATACTAGATCTTTTTAAATTTGCACTTAAAAGGACTGTTAGCTTAAGTTTAAGTGATTATCTATGCAAAGATGATAATTCACAACACCTACCCTTTAAACCTTTCTCTGATCAACATTGTGAAAGATATTGTAGATTTTCTAGGTTTAAAAGTGACTGCTTCGTGATAATCGTTGAAATGAGTTTTGCATGGAGGGTCACTTAAAGTCATGCTAGCAGTCCCAGTCAAGACAATATTTTTCCCCACCAAAATTACCAAATTTAAGGACAATTGTCAAAACTTAATTTTTTCAGGCGAGCTCTGGATTCAAGTTTCCTAAAACCTTTCTTTGTTCTCAATCTAATGCTGACAATTGGCATTAATTGGGGGGGTTTCGCGGCTCTAGGTAAATAATATTGGAGACATATATATATATACTACTTTGAGCCCATCTTATACTTAATTGTGGCTCTGTCCGTGATCTGTATCTAGTTGTTCAATTTAAAAAAAATACAAAAAGGGTCGCGGATTTAATAACAACTTTTTGCGCATTTTCAAAATTTTACAAAAATCAAAAACTTTTGGACACAATTTATTTTGTAATTTCAAGCATCCATAAACCTTCTCTGTGGGGTCATGTAGTGACCCACACAAAACCACTCGGTTCAGCCGTTTTGACGTTTATTGGATACAAATGGACAGACAGCCAGACAAACAAAGTATAAAAAGGGGGTTTTCACATGACTTAATTATTCTCATAATATCGCCTTTTTGTAATTAGGAAAGCAACTAATCGCTGGTCCTGAGCCTGCCCAGAATGATTAAAATCCTCAGCAAAACATACATACAGACGTTGTTTTAATTTTTCGTAGATAACGATATAAAACCGGTTTGAAAACATTTTATTTTAGGAAATTAGTTGTGATCCTAATTCAAACATTAGGGAATTATGTAATTTATTTTCTTCTATAAAATAGATGGACAATCACTTTAACCAACCATTCTATACTACTATAGTAAGCCAAATTGGACATTGGTCGAACTGGATTTTATTTGTTGGGTTAACCAATTTCTGGACCCGGCTTGATTTTAACCAATTTCTGGACCCGGCTTGAATTTAACCAATTTCTGGACCCGGTTTGAATTTAACCAATTTCTGGACCCGGCTTGAATTTAACCAATTTCTGGACCCGGCTTGATTTTAACCAATTTAACGTAAAATTTGAGTCTTGCCACAAACTCAAATTCCTTTGTCTCGTTTCTTTTATTACAGAAATTTTGACATAATTACCTTAATCAAATCTCTTCTCAAACTTTGTCCTATCTTCATGGTTATCCAAATGGGCACTTTTCAATACTAGCTGAAGTCCCGGCGTTGCCCGTGGACTAAAAAAACACTTAGCATTACTTGTTAGCCTATGTTACCCCCAGGGTATCCATGGGTTTCCTCAAACAATATAAATCAATGTGGTTCAGTCGTTTGGCCAGCTATCATATGTATATATGAGTAAAGAGCTTTATTATATAGAAGATAAAAAAAATCTGAAAGTTCCATCACTGATTCATATTCATATCTTTATAAAAAAAGAAATTTTGTCTTAGCCACAAACTTAAATTTTCCAAACCCTATATTTTTGCAACCTGATTTAATAGTTTGAAATATCTAAGGTCTACAACATTGGGTTGTAATAGGAAAACGAAAATTAGAGTTTGCAGCAAAGACTTAATTCATTTGAAAAAAAAAATTAAATTTCGTTTTCAGAATACTATATGCACACAATAGTGTCGGAAGTCCAGGTTCCCTTTAACACGTATTGGATAGGAGTCATAATTACTGCTTATGGGTATGTAAATTATATCAATTATGTAAATTATATTGATTATGTAATTTATATCGATTATGTAAATAATATCGATTATGTAAGCTATATCGATTATGTAAATTATATCGATTATGTAATTTATATCGGTTATATAAATTATATCGAATATGTAAATTATATCGAATATGTAAATTATATCGATTATGTAATTTATATCGGTTTTGTAAATTATATCGATTATTTTAATTACATCGATTGTGTAAATTATATCGATGCACTAAAAAGGTTAAGAAGCCAAAAAAAAATACTTTTTAACCAGAGCCTATTTTTTTGAACAGACGTTTTTGAACAGACGTTTTTAAACAGACGTTTTTGAACAGCTATTGAGAAGAAGAAAACTGGTTAGAATTTATAAAATGTAACCGAAGAAATTTGCTACAGGGTTGATAGTAATGCTAGTGGCGTGGAATGGAGTGGCGTCATATGAGGTTTTTTTCTTACCATCTAGGAGACAACATTTCCCAATGGAGCGCATCGAGAGTAATCGACTTTCTGCTATATATGTAGCAAATATAGAGGCCCCATAGTAAATAACGTTGTACATTGTCCATACAGCTAACTTATACAGCATAACTTGTAATTACGCTGTTAAGACCCAATTCATATCTAAACTGAAGAAATATACCTTAGTTGATATAGAAACTCCGCTTTCATTACAGTGCAGTTGAGTATAATTATGGTTTTGTTGAAACATACGAATTGAGATTGTTGCCTTGAGTTTTGGCTTGATCGATAGATTGCTATTTCCCGGTTGACATATCTAACGAGATCGCAACCATTGTTAGTGGCCATGATAGTTCACGGGATTGTAGCTGTGTGGATTGTATCATATGACTTGAGCTTGTTTCCAGAGTTTTTGGCTTGATCCATAGATTGCTATTGTCTGGTCGACAAAGCTAGCAAGATCACGCCCAGTGGTATAGTGGCATTGATAGTTCACGGGTTTGTAGCCTTGTGGATCATGTCCTGTATGAGACATTGATTAATTTATTGCTATTGCCCGTGACATAGCTCGCAAGATCGCGCACAGTGATAGTGGCGTTGATAGTTCACGGGATTGTAGCTGTGTGGATCGTGTCCTGATTGAGACATTGATCAATTGATTGCTAGTGTCCATATTGACACTGATAGCGAACAAAATTGCACCCAGTGGTAGTGGCGTTGATAGTTCACGGAATTGTATGCCCTGTGTTGACATTGATAGTTAAGAGAATCTGAGTTGTACCTGGATAGATATGTGTTCGAAAAATTGTTATGGAGTAAGCCAGGTGCGCAACTACTAGACATTTGGTTAGAGGGGGGCTAGGGGGAAATATTTCACGCGAAGCGCGAAAATTTTTTTGGCCCCCCCCCAAACATTTTTAGGGGGGGGCAAGAAAAATGTGTGTTATACTTAAACAATAAAAAACTAACCTTTCCAACCTGATATTCAGTAAGTCAACACATCTGATATGAAATAAAACAAGAAATCTATTCTAGTCAGGGGCGGATACAGGGGGGGAGGCGGAGGAATTCGCCCCCCCCTGAATTTGGAATTTTTTGTTCCTATTTTCAGAATAGCTTCTATAATAGCATGGTTAATTGGGAAAGAAACCCTAGTGCAAAACAGGAAAAATATCTGTCTTGATAAACTATAATGTGTGAAAAGTTAAAAATCTAGTTTTTTAGTCTTTTGTCATTAATTTTCACTCTTTTTGAGTCTTTTAAGTCAAAAAAAATTTTCGCCTGTGCCGCGATTTTTGGTTCCTAATTATGAATTTTTTTTTTTCCTAAAAAATCTTGCCCCCCCC